CGGCCATTGAGGGGGGGAACCCCGTGGAAAAGGAAGACCTTTCTCTCTGTCTCTCTCCTCACTAATCCACTTCTGCCTGTCCCCCTTAAATATAAAAAAAAAAAACAATACACATAAACATCTTCGAGCAGCACGTGGAACTCAGACATTCCAGTATGGGATGATGGCAAGCAGTGGCTTAGCTCAATACAGCACAATGCCAGCCCCAAGTGTACCTTTGAATATATAAGAAAACCTTGAAAATCTCCAGCTTTTATGAAATCATCTAAATATAATTAAGATAAGGCCAGAACTATAGTGAGATGGCCAGGAACTTATGTCAGGAACTGCTTGAGGCCACCCACATTTTGTGATGTGCCTCTGGGACAGTTTTGAGACTTGGAAGGCCCGCAGGCTGAGGACATCCAGAACACACACAAGGAAGAGACAGCAGAGGCTAAATTTTGTCTGCCAATAACACAAGACCCTGATGGAAAATGATAATAAAGAGATCAATCATATCATGTGGTTAATATTTACCTCTTAAATTAACGGTAATGACACTTACCACTTATGTACTAGACGCTATTCTAAATGCTTTCTAAATAGGAACTAATTTTGATCCTCAAAACCGCCCTACTTGCTCACACTATTATAAACCCCATTTAACACATAAAGAAACAGACAGAAAGGTTAAGTACCTTCCCTACAGACATGTAGCTAGTAGACTGAGGAGCCAGGATTATAAACTCTGCAGTCAGTTGCAGAACTTTCTCTACTGCAAGAAAATGTTTCCACAAGTAACCCTCACACTTGCCTTCATGTTCCATTGACTAGCATTAAATCACATTCTCTGCCTCTAAACCAGTCACTGACATGAGGCATGAGATTATCAGGAAGGGGCTAGGTTGTTCAACACTTGTTACTGAGCTGGAGATAGACTAATCTTTCCCAAGGAATAGACTCTGAAAAAACGAGGGTTCTCTTCCCACACAGGGAATGGACACCGGGCAAGGACCCTGCAATGCTTGCTATGAGGGCCTACATGCACACAGCCCTGCTCCACGAAGTCCATTCCTCTGCTTTCCTAAATTAAGGTAGCATAGTGAGGCCATTGTCACCCGCACATAAATCTGTGCCTCCAACTGCTTGCAAGCACCCAAAGACAGCAACAAACTCCACATATCTGCATATTCCCCGCAGGGCCTGGCACAGGGCCTTATTCATAGAAAGTGTTCAAGAAACATTTGTTCATTATAATTGAATTTTCTTTCTCAGGTCTACTTAATTGGAGAGGTCAACAGTTGACCATGCTCAAGGCAGGCAGATAATGCATTTTCACATTGATCTTGCAATCAAATGAATTCTGAAAAACTTCCCTTGCCATGCAAAACAGCATGAAATTACACATTAGCATAGGTCAATGCAAAGGCCCAAACTTATTAAATTGTTAGTGTCTTGCACCCAGCACCCTCGGAGGTAACATTAATGTCACAGTTTTATTATGACTTGACATTTCTACTATATTCAAAGAGACACTACATTCAAAGAGACATTCCAAAGATCTATAGACAAGGCATGCTACATAATTTACGAGGTTCAGTTCTAAAAGAAGATGTGGAGTCCTAGCTATGTGGTTAAGTCAATCTCTCCTTTCCCTGGGCCCACTGCTCCAACACACAGGGGACAAGTGACCCTCAGTAATTCCAATTTCCTGGCACTTGGATTAGAGATGGACAAGAGGGTCCCACAGAGTTATAAACTGACATAGTCAGCCCCTGGTTGGGGTAGCATTGCCCTACCCTAACCTGGATGAAGTAGAACACCTGTCTGACCTCAGTCCTTCCTGTGCCCATGCCCAGACCTCACTCTGGGGTCAGAATCCTAAACCACCTGTCAACAATGTGACCTGGTTTCTGGATTAGGCAAAGGGCAAGAGCAGGGGAAGGAAGGCCAGCCATTGCTTGGGAGTTGGTGTGTGAATAAGAACCCATCTCAGCTAGGCTGTAGTAGGTGGGACACCCATGAGTCAAGGCAAAAAGGCCTGGCTCATGCTCCATTGTCCCATCAGCCACAAACTTAAAATTATTAAATATTATAAGATGATGACTTCATAGCATTAAACCCTAAACCCATGTAAGCATGAGACCCCGTGTGATCACTTGCTGTGGCTACAAATGTTTAGTCCCATTGTTTGAATTGAATATCCATTTGTGGAGGAAATAAAATACATTTTTAAAGATTTATTTATTTGAAAGAGTTACAGAGAGGCAGAGGCAGAGGGGGAGGAAGAAAGATCTTCCTTCCATCTGCTGGTTCAATTCCCAAATGGCTGCAATGGCCAGAGCTGTGCCAATCCAGATCCAGGAGCTATCTTGGGGTCTCCTATGCGGGTGCAGGAGCCCAAGGACCTGGGCCACCTTGTCCTGCTTTCCCAGGCCACAGCAGTGAGCTGGATCGAAAGTGGAGCAGCCGGGACTCGAATTGGCACCCATATGGGATGCTGGCACTGCAGGCAATGGCTTTACCCGCTATGCCACAGTGCTGGCCCCATAAAATAAATTTTTTAAAATGCTATTCAAAAGACTTCAGATAGGAAGGATGCTGACTGCTCACTCAACAAATGCTCTTCCCATGGTTTCATTCAGTGGTTCCCCTCCTAAAGGTATGGCATCTTGACTTTGAACTTTATCCTGCAGATAAGTAATCAGCCATTTGGCATTTTTTTAAATAGCTGAGAGACACAATCAGGTTTCTATCATAGATCTCTGTGGTGGGAGTAGACAGGATGAACTGGAGGATGCAGAGACTCTAGACAGGCAAACCTTCCAAATTCTAGATCCGCTGTTACTGTAAGTGACATTGTAGCAGGGTAGTTAAAGGCTTGGAGTCTTTAGCCAGACATATGTCTGTTCTAATACTTGTTATGCCATTTATGAGATATATAAACCTGAGGCAGTCATTTGACTTTTCTAAGCTTCAGTTTTTTTATCTGCTGAAACAAAGCAATAACCATAAAGGGTTGAATAATAGGTTCTTATGAAGGTTGGATGTAATGTTGTATATGAAGCACTTCATATAGTGCCTAGTTCATTAAATGTAGCCATTATTATTATCATGTGAATAAATTACTTTCCAGCCCCAGGTTTAGATTCTTTCTAAAACCCACTGTGCTTCTATGACGGGAAGAGGGACACATGTTTGACTAACTCCATTAACCAGTCTCTTGCCCTCTGTGACCCACAGTTCTTATTTCTTAAAAAATTTGAGAGGCAGAATTATATATACATATAAATATATATACATATATATGTATATAAATGTATGTATGTATATAAGTATATATGCATATATATGTATGTGTGTGTGTGTGTGTATATATATATATATAAAGAATAAGTGACACTCCCCAAATGACTGCAAGAGCCGTCTGCACCAGGCTTAAATCAGGAGCCAGGAACTCCATCCT